AGACCAGCCTAGACCTTATACCAGACGATGAAGTTGTTTCTTCCTGGGGCCAAACTCCTCTTTCTTGCTGGAGGTGGGAACTGCCTATGATTTGTTGTACAACGCTACTTTATTCCAAGGGGCGGAGGGACAAATGGGGTCCAAGCAAGGGACAGCAGATGGTAGCTGGACTGACTCAAATCTTGCTTCTGTAGTTATTTTAGCTGAGAGCTGATTCTGTAGGCAGACAGAAGACTCAAGAAGTGACAAAGATTGATAGTTTAGCTGTTCTGCTTGTGGTGCAGGTTTAGGAGACCACACTTTGGCTGCTGCTAACATCTGGATTCACACTTTCCCCTGCTCCATTTCCCAAGAGGAGAGACCTGAGGAGTAGCTACAGCACCAGGGTTTCCCTTTGGCTCCAGATGAGATAGTGGGGGTCCTGGAAGAGACACCTTCGCCATTCCCCTGCTTGCTTGCTGCTCCAGTGCCCTCTTCTCTTGATAGCCTTGTGGCTTGCCCACTGGAGCCAGAGCTCAGCATTGCTCCTCTGCTCTGCCACATGTAGAAGATGAATTTGGCTGGGCACATGTATCAGCTTCAGGCACTGCAGGTTCCAAATCAAACTCAGCTGGTTTGTGAGGGTGAGGTGAGGGTCTGAGTCCTCTCTAATGATGCTGTAAAACACCAGACTGGGGGGGCATGTGTCCTTCAACATTTCTCTTTCACTGCTGGACAGCTGCCTCTTGGCTAATGCTGCAAACATATCACAAACCCAAGAAGCTGCTTTTGTGTTTTCCTTTTCAATTCCTATGCAGACAATACTTGAAACCTTGTACACAGTCCTCCTTCCCAGCGCCTGGGGTTGGCACACTCTTCATAAAAGGTCTCATTTAAAGAACAGCAGGAGGCTTCAGCTTTAGAAGAGGCTGCTTCTTCCCAGCTGACAACTGCAAGCATGTCCAGGGCTTTGCATATGAATTTAGGCATATCTGGACCCTCTGCTTCACCATCCCGCTGGTCCAGCCGCTGTCTCCCCTTGGTGCTGGCTGTGTGTCCTGAGCACCCAACTATGCAAAGAATGCCTTATATGTGTTGTGTTTAAGTTACATGGCAATACGTACATTGAGCAAAGTCTATAGTTGAGTCCAGAGTTTTGCTGGTGGGCAGCGAGTCAAACTATTTCCTCAACTCAAAAGGCTGTCTGGGTGTTTTTTACTTGTGTTCATTTTGTTTGTTTTGTATCTGATGGTGGCTCTTACACAAAGGACTGTCATTCTAGTGGCTTGAATCTGTAAAACTTGCCTTTGTTTGGTCCAATAAACCTTTGAGTAGTTTCTTTGCTCTGTGCTTGTTCTCCCTGCCTCCAGCAGTTTATAATGTCTTTCTCAGGAGAATTGTATTGACAATGTGACTTTTAGGGGAGAGCTACATTCTGCCTTCCTGTGCCTTTTACCCCATAAATTATTCCATTGGTTTCCTCAACAGTAGAGTCAGCCCAGTGGTGAAAGTCAGGGATTTTCCCTTATTTCTGCTGCGTTCCTGGTCATGTTTGGTTGCAGAGGAATTAGCAACATTCCCAGTGCAGAGCTCTGCACGGGATTTCAGCTGCCATCAACACGAATGCCTGAAACAGAGATCTCCTTTAACATACCTATGGCTCCCTGCCCCAAACCTCCAGCTAATGGTAAAAGTCTTGGACTGAAATGTCTAAGAAGAGCCTAAGGCAGTTCAGTGTGCAAATTCAACTGCCTAGCAAGGAGAATTAGGCTGCTTTGAAATCCTTAACTACCCTATTTTGTCAGCAATAAGTAAAATCCTATTTGACCAAATAGTTTTGAGGACAGGACTTACAGGAAGAGAGAATGATTTTACTTGTGAATGGGGTAGGTTTGATCTCAAATCATCAAACAAACCCCCAGCCTGGAGCACTGCTTGTTTTCAAAGTTGCCTTTGAGAGGAGAAGCTCCTTCTTGCAGTGAGTTTTATGGTTTTGATGCCTTATTCTTCTTTCCCAGGCTCGTTTCTCTCTTTATCTTTGTTTTGCTCTCCCTTTGTTGTAGATTATGTAGCAGAAAGAAGTAACAGCTCTTTTTTATTTCTGTTTTTCAAGTGCACAATCATATTTAAAGTTATGGAGAAAGCTAAAATGAATTGATTAAATAGAGTGAATATTGCCCCTGATCTTGATTTTGGAGGTTTGGAGATGAGGAAACAGGCTTTTGGGAAGGATGTGTTAATGTCCGTGATACAACAAGCAAGGGATGCAGACCTGTGTGGAGCACTCCCAGCTGGCAGTGCATTTCAGCCGTAGAAAGCAAACTGTGTATCGAATTTCTCCACCCCAGACTGGAAATGTGCCCTCTGGTGCCTCTACAATAAAATATTGATCACTAACAACTCTGCTTCCCTCCCTCTCGTCTGGAAAGGGCAGTTGGATGCTATTCGTGCCAGTACAAAACATTACAGAAGAGACAGACAAATCCAGCCTCTTGACAGCCTATGGCCAGAGCTTTCAGAACCAGAGGCTCCCACAGTGTTATCAGGATATGTTTGGCCTTAGGACAATTGCATTTTAATTGCAGTAGAAAAGAATTGGCAAATGAGCTTCCTTTTGTCAGAATCTGCTCTAGGGACAGCCTGCTGTTCCTGCTTCTGCTGGGGCTTAGCCCAGGAGAGGGGAAAATGCAGAGCACCCCTCAGCAGGAGCTCAGCACCCAAAGGCACCTCTGCTCCTGACTGTCTCCTCCCAGTGATCTTGTTCGTGGTGTGGTTGCTTCTGATGTGTTGACACTGTTCTCTCTTCTTCTGAGCAAAGATTGCATCCTGGGTTTGCCTGTCAATAGGTATTTCTACCCCTCCTGTTACTAGAACTGCTTGTCCATATGGGAATTGCAGGAAGACTGCCCCAGGTTAACTAATGGCGTGCATTTAAATGGATTAATTACAGTGTGTTAAAATCGTATGCCGAAAGCTTGCTGTGATGGGGAAAGAGGCCTCTTGAAAGGGGGACCATGTGGAAGTAAAAGCCAGAGTCTCTTTTTCTAGTTCATAGGAGGTCTAAACGTGTAAAACAAGCAGGAGGAGCTGGGATTGCAGCAGATCTGTGCTCTGAGCTGCTGGGCTATTGCTGAATTCTAGCCCCACAGTCATGTAGAGGCAAAATGAGCCTTGAAGTAACAGGAACTGTTTTCCCCTTGTTACCACTATAAAGCCCTACAACCTCATTAGTTCTTTTAATCTCACACAGGAGAGTCAGATGGGGCATGCGCTAAGCAATACTGCAATCTCCTCCCTGGCAATGAGAACTTACCAGCCCACAGCCAGCCCTGACCAGAGCCAGGATGCACATTCATTTTGCCCTAAAAGAGGATTTTGTAGCTAGTTGCACCAGTTCATGAGCTACTTGCAAACAAATGACACTCCTGTGCTGCTCACCCTTCTGTATCCCTAAGTCATGATCAGTGACCAATGCATCTATAAAGCTTCCTCAAATAAAGCCCTGTGACAGACACCAATCTTCATGCTGCAGCACATGCAACAATGGTTAACTGCTTCAGGTTAGGGAAAAGTCAGGATATCCTCTGTTATTGGGAAAAGAGTGTTGGTCATCCACTGTGGGACTTGCTACAGATGAAAATCTGAGCTAGGTGCTCCACTGCTCAGCCTCTGTCCATGCAGGGATGTCCTCATTGCTGGTATGGCTATGAGTCCTTCTCACCATTTGACATTGGCAAATGAAGCCAATCAAAGCCAATTTCTGTGATCATATCCTCCAGTGGCTGATTAAAGCCATGGACACACTGGGAGTAATCTGGTCTCTACTTTTAAGGTAGGGTATGCATTAAAAATGTAATAGCTATTCCTGAATTATTCGGTGTCTACATACTGTCATAAGAGGACACCATGCTGATGAAGCTTAATCCAGTTTCAGTATGGAGTCTGCTAAATTGGGACGTGTTGGTCTTATGAAATTCCACATGTCAAGTTATCCTGAAACTTTGAGCACAGATAAACCCTAAGGAACGCCAAAGCTAGCATTAAAGCAATCTGGTTATCTCTGTATTTGAAGAACTGCAGAGACACATTCAGGATGATTAGATAAATGGGAAGGGAGATCTTTCTTATCTCACACGGGCAGATTTCCTGCAGCCACTGAGGCTTGTAAAATGTTCTGTGTTTGGCTTCATGTTTCATTTGACCACGGTGTTCTTGCTCAAAGTGCCTTCTGGGGACTGGCTATTCCTACTTCTCCTTTTCTTCTCGACAGGGTTCAAAGAGAGCAGCTGGCTGCCATCTTCAGGCTCATGAAGGAAAAAAGTGACACGTTTGGAGAAATGTCTGAAGGAGACATGAAGGAGCAGCTTAGACTGTATGATATATAACCTTGCAGCCAGTGGAGACTATGCCCAAAAGTCATCATGTCCCTTATTATGCAGGACATTGGAGGCTGTAGTTCTAGAAACGTGTTTCAGTAGTTATTTTGCAGTTCCAGTTTGTTTTGCAAACACATATAGGCCTGTGATATGTATTTCAAAATACTTGTAATTTCTCACCCTTTATTTTGTTTCTCCTTGAAGAGCTATCACATTTTCATCTCTTACAGAGATTTTTACCTCCTTCTAGCTGTGTCACATATTTCAGTCACACAGAGCAGTTTAACCCACAACATTTTCTAGCCATGCTTTATAAAAATGACCTGTCCAACCTAGTCTGTATCAGTTTGATACCTGAAGAAAGCCAAAGATGATAGACATAAAATGGATGAAAATAATAGAATCATAGCATAACTCAGGCTGAAAGGGACCTGAGGAGGTCTGTAGTCCAACCTCCTGCTCAAAGCAACACCAGCTATAAGACCAAGCAAGGTTACTCAGGGCTTTATCCTGTTGTGTCTTGAAAACCTCCAAAGATGGAGACTGCACAGCCTCTTGGCAGAGTCCTCCAATCCTACAGTTAGAAAGCAAATAGCCAAAGGCAAGGCAATACTGCTTGTATTAGAAGCGAGTTGCTGTTCTCGTCTCCTTGCACTGGCTTTTGGAAACAACCCCATGTTGGTTCCAGCTGACCTTGCTGAGCTCATCTTCACGCCTGAGAAAACAGCAGCTAAGTTCAACCTGGAAACATGCACATCTCTCTGCCTCTCGACACTGGTAATAGTAGTGCAGAAAGGTGGCTTGCTTTTTTATGATTGTGTCCAACTCAGATCCTGTTCTCCCAGCAGAAAAATTATGTGGGAAACTACCTACTTAAGAAATCTCTCTGAATTGCTGAAGTATTTTGAAGCAACTCTTGATGGTTTGGGTAAATCAATAAGCATTCTGAATTTTAACCAAATGTCTCCCGATGTACTTGTCTCGCCTACAAAATCCTGTTAAACGCTTCATTATCAGGAAGGATTTCCTCAGTTTTAATAACTGCTGACAAAGGGAGGCAATGGTTTCTGAGCCAGTTTTAGGGAATGATCTCTTTAAAGATTAGTTTTGCTCTATTTTCTGTAATACTTTAAAGTCTGGGAAACCTATTAGCTCATTATCTGGTCACTGTTTCCCACTACAGTAACACCATAGTATTTGACTTTTAAGAATAATTTTATCTTCCAATCCTCACTTAGGTGAAGGCACATTTATTATAAGATCAACCTGGTTTTGCTACAAGTTATGACTTAAATCTAAAATGTAATGTCAGAAAATTACCTCTTCTTATTCAACATGAAGGAAGTAAGTGGGAAAGGAGTCTCATGATGTGAAACACCATGCTGGCATGCTGTGTCCCTAGGCCACAACTTCCTTTGTCAAGCTGTGCAAAGGAAGAAATATAAAGAATTTGTATATGGGACCTCTCCCTAGTTCAAAACTGAAAGCATGATCTTTCCCCAAAGCTCCTCTTGAAAACAAGCAAAGGAGCATTAAGGTTGAGTTGATTTTTAGTCTTTGTGTTGTAGACTTTATAGTCTATTTCAAACATACTTCTATAGTTCTTTTACATTTGCGCCTTCTCTGAATAGGAACATGGCTGGAAAATAAAAAGAACCCTCAAACTCCTCAGCCCCACATTATGATAACACTGTATGAGGCAGAGCATTTGGCATTAAACCTGTCCTGCCTGTACCAACACCGAGCAGTGTCACCAAAATAAGATGCTGTCAATGACAGGATAGTGGTAAAAGATCTGTCATTTACTAGGTCCAATATAAGAAAGAAATGAAGCTCAGTAAAAACACCCCTTCCCAAGACATGAGACAAAGGGATGTCTAGATGTAAACCCCGGGGTTTAAAAGTTACGTTTTCTCTGAGTGCAAGCACAGAGCTGTGGTGAAGAGGAGCCCGCGGGGTGGCCGCGGACGGCAGTGGGGAGGTGGTGCTGTGACGGGACACATCTCTACTTGGCCGCCCACCTCCAGCTTCCTTTTCCCTCTGGACTCATAAATATTTATATAGGAAATTCCACCCCTTGCTCCAGCAGGATCTCGCCGCTGGATATTGTGCTTTAATCAACGCTGGCTGCTGCCCCTCAGCCTCCCGCGGGGTGCAGAAGTGGATGTACGAACACACCCCCAGCGGGGGACGGGGGGATACACTGTGAGAGCCACGGGGGAGACCTTCCCCCCTTTGACAACATCTGGGGCCACAGACACGGGCGGGAGGATCCCGAACCATACTCCCATGGCCTCCCACAGCTCTTCGCAACCCCTGTGAGCCCCTGCCCACAGCTGCCGCGGGCGCTTCGGGA